TGCTTGACCACTGATTAAGCAGGACGCATGTTGGATAAGCTGCTAAACTAATTTATCAAAACTGAGAACAGCATCCTGGATTTTACATGACTTTTTGGTACTGAACCTACTATTATTACCTGCGAGGGTGCAATCTGACCTTGGAGTGGATGGCACCCTGTACTGTGTAATTCTTCTCTGCAACCTTTCGACAACTACTCGTCCTAAGCCCCCCTGCAATAACTCCAACTTAGTAATCTCCTCCCTTCTTCTCCATCTCAATAGAGTCTCAATCGTACAGGGTTATTCAAAGTTAATTCAAAAATAATTTTACGTTTAAGGCCATAGTAGCTGAATGATAAACATAGGTGACTTTCTCCAGGTCACCTATTTTGATCTTAAATCTGAAATTCACTTTGAAATCTCACTTCATTAAATAACTCTACTAGTGTGTTTTCCTGCTATTCCCCCTTCCTAAATCTTTATACTTCTACTCTACGCAATTTTTTATCTTATACCTCACTCATATCTCGTACTCCCCACTTATAATGCCACTCCTACAGGTATCAGCATTCATATCCCTTGTCTCAAATTTTATTCCACTTGCCTCAAAATCCAATCTCTGCATGCTTTCATCAACTCAGCACTTTAAAACCTTAATTTAGCACCCTATTCCCTGATGGCTTTATATATATATGACATGTGATACACATATACACTCATGTATTCATGCACACTGAATCTCTCCACATATGTCTCTGTGTTCAAACACGCTACATACAAATAAGGCGCTATATTAAAGGACCACTATAGTGCCAGGAAAACATACTCGTTTTCCTGGCACTATAGGGTCTCTAGGTCCCCCCCACCCTTAGGGTCCCCCTCCCGCCAGGCTCTGGGGTGAGGAAGGGGTTGAACACATACCTTTTCTCCACCACCAGGTTACCTCGGCGGCGGGGACTCTCCGCCTCCTTTCCCCGTCATCGGCTGAATGCGCATGCGAAGCACGAGCCGTGCGCGCATTCAGCCAGTCCACAGGAAAACATTCTCAATGCTTTCCAATGGACGCTGGCGTCTTCTCACTGTGAAAATCACAGTTAGAAGCGTGGAAGCGCTTCTAGTGGCTGTCAATGAGACAGCCACTAGAGGCTGGATTAACCCGTAGTTAAACATAGCAATTTCTCTGAAACTGCTTTGTTTACAGCAGGCAGGGTTAATCCTAGATGGACCTGGCACCCAGACCACTTCATTAAGCTGAAGTGGTCTGGGTGTCTATAGTGGTCCTTTAACACATATGCTCAATTCAAGCACTGCCCTGCATACACACACACACACTGAAGTCATAGAAATACTTATATAACAAAATAGCATTTGAGGTGGCAAGTAAATGTTCACGCCTGGCTAGTACTAGTACTATTTATACCAGCATTAAGACACACAAACAGTCCCGTAAATTTTCATACACTGATACCACACACAAATATACTTTTTCATTAACACACACACAGGCACCTTTGACAAACAGCAACATTGCTACATTCACAAAAAATGCTGATACTTTGCTGAAATACACTCCTGAATTCCCACACTGACACATCATATTGATACACCCCCAGTATTAAAATACATCAAACACATTTGCACCCAATGCATTCATGCACAGATCCTACACTCAACACTGCATTCACACAGACACTGGGGGTGGGTTTCAATGGTGGTGAAGCATGTTCTTTGCACATTATTACAAGAAGCTGTAGTGGCTAAGATACTTGACGCATTGCATTGGCATTGGGTGCTTTGAGACCCTGGTTTTCTGTGAAACTGTCAGTAAAATGGGACAGAAGTGGAAAAGGGACTGCACCCAAACTCATTTCAGCATAATCACTATAATAAACTGACGTGGTTATGGTGTTTAAGGGAAAGTTTTAGGATAGTGAAGCATGACCAGTTGGCAGATCACATGGTTAATCTAACACATATGTGGCAGCCCGAATAATAGTTTTGTAAATGAGAGAAAGTGGGCTTACTTAGAGAAATAAAGATTTAGGAAGGCAAAGTGGACAAATCAAAGGGTATTTACCAAGTAATAAGGGAAGAGATTTAAGAGGGAACAAAGTTGAGGAAAACATCAGACATATGTTTACATTTGAATGATTCTAGAGTGTTTTTTTAATGAGAGCAGACGAGTTTCAAACCAAATATGTTAATCTCATTATATTGAAGAGTAATGATGTGACTAGTCCTGCAACACAGTTTTTTTAAAGTACTTATGTAGGCAGATAAACACTTTTAAGATCTGAAGACCTGAAACATTTTCCTAAAACCCACACAGTTTCTGAATATCCAATTGGTCTTATAGTAAAGATGAGAATGCAAGTGTTCACCACCTCCCACAGTGTTATATTATTTTATTGTCAAGGGAAACCAGAAGATTGGAAGATTAAAATTGGGGGCAGTGTCATTGTTTCAATGGTGAGAAAAAAAAACCAAACTCTTTCCTTACTATATCAGAAACCTTAAGATAATGACTGGGTGCCCAAAATTCCACATGGTCTATTTTTTATCCTCTTTAAAAATAAGATGATAATGCAAATAGGAGCAGACAGACTAATGGTTGCTAATGATGACCCTTATTGACCACTGATGACAGATTCATATGGCACATCAACTGGGCTGTACTGTATATACCTGGACTGCATAATTTAGTTTTTTGGGTGTATGCTGAACTGAATATCCCAAGGTATTCCTAGAAGACACAGACATGTTCTAGTCAAAAAGTGACTGCAACATCAAAAGGAAATGTATGGAGTACTAGGCTTCACACAGGTAATACCAGTATTGGGACAGAGTTCCGTTACTAGAGGCTACAATAGGAAACGGACTACCAGGGACAAACAAGGTGAATATAGAGATAAAATTCAGAATCAAACCCTACGGGGGAGAGTGAAGAAATGTACATGAACCTGGGCGCCGTACCTGCAGTATCTCTCGGCGGGTGAGGTGGGAGGCTGATTCCCCTCATACCTTTCCCCTCCCCTCTAACAACCTAATAATAACCCCAATGCAAATCATGACAGACACGCATCTTGACCTCTAAAACAACCAAGATACCATGCAGCCATTCCTTGCCTACCTACTGACCGACGGACCACAAAAACACCTGACGCAATGACGAAGCACTAAGCTATGACCATCAGACTCCCCTCTAAACGAGACCACCAACCCCAGGTGACACTAGATTGCAGCTGATATGACGAACATAGGAAATAGCCCACGGTGGCACTAGTAACGCAGACTGCCCTAGGGTACCAGTTGACATACAGCCAACATGGATTCCTATCCCTCCTACTGCAAAAACACACTATGAGACAGGCCCAAACACAACAACGAGACAAGGCCCAGCGGAAAGCTATATGAGAACCTGTAACTTAAATGACAGTATGCTTTATCGAACATTCATTGCCACAAGGCTGACACCTGTACGTCCCGCTTCTGCGACCACATACACTCGATGACTCATATGCACACAAGCCTAGATAGGGTCACTTGGTGAAGCCTAGGTCTGAGGGTCCCACATACAGAGCACCGCAGAATGCAGGTTATTAACAATTGGTTCGGAATTGCTGCATGGGCACCTACTGCTGATACACAACTCTACTAGCTGTCTGAGAACGAGAGCTGGCACCAAAACACAAGACTGCCTAGTTATTAATGTTGTAACTATCTCGATCTTCGCTCCAATTAATACACAAAGAACAGAATAATTGCAATTTGTAGAAGCATAGTGTGCCACTCGTATCAAAGGTGAAACACATATACACTGTTAAATGGTTACTTTGATATAGTCCCCTTGTTACATAATCGGATGCCTGATTGAACAATGTGCCTGAACACCGATCCTTGTGCCTCTGGTTGCGAACAGATGTTAACCACATGTGTTCCTCACTGCTTTGTTGTTACTCATATGTAAGAGGCATGTACTTGTATACTTTTACCTGTTTTGTCTGTATAATTTCTAAAACGAAAATAAAGATTGTCAAAAAAAAATTCAGAATCATTTTATCTAATCTATGTTTTTCTACAATCTAAATGAAACGTAAGTAATGACAAAAAAGTGTAAGAAATAATAATAATCTATCCCGCCCATTATCTGCTTCACCCAATTTCCTCTCCCCTTCCGTCCTTCCCTTGATTTTTGTGATTACTCAACATTGTATCAACTAATGATGACAACACAACTACATATATTTTGAATCCTAATCTTTATTTCATTTTATAATATTCTAATATTTTACATTTGTTTTTTTTCTGATTGCTTTATGTCTTCGGGGACCATCGTCATGGTTTTGCTCATTGTCTTCTGTTTCTTTGTCCCTGGTAGGACTGTTTATTGTCTGCATTTGTCTTCCCATAATCATCTCAATAAAAATTAAAGGAACACTATAGCGTCAGGAATATAAACATGTATCCAGACAATATAGTTCTAAAAACACTGGGCCTGCAGTTGCAACCTGTTGAAGGTCAGTTAGATATCAGGTAGGTGGGTGCCCTCTGTGTGAGTTGATTTTTGGGGCTTGTGTCCCGACTCTCTATTGAGGGGTAAAATGTAGGTTCAACAGGCTATGTGCATGGCCTAAAAGCTTGTTAATTAGTATAGGGAATCGGAACTCTGCATACAAACGTCTGTTTAGCCGCAAACCTAGCCACGTCCCCTCCACGTTAAAGCTTTTTATCGTAAATATAGTAGATGATTTAATGTTTTCGGGATTATTCCAACAATCTTGCAGCACAGATAGAATCTGACTCAACTGTCTACATACAGCCCATGAATACAAAAACACTTGGCATTTCCAGTTAGTGAAAACAGAATTTACCCCATTTTCTTCTTAATAAACATAATTGATTTGCATCTGTTACATTAGGTTAATGGGATACACAATACGTAGAGCAGTAGGTATTCCTCTCTAGCCCCATAATTAGAAGGCACTTAGTTTGATAATCATCATTGTAATTACAGCACTGGAAGTTACCTGAGAGGAAACGGAAATCCAAATGTCTACAAGTCATTGACCTGTAATTCCAGTTGACCCTATGAAAGCATTGCAGGCATACAGAGAAAGAAGCTTTGCTGGTTACAAAAGTACTTTTAGTATCAAAAGCTGTGTAGGGCTCCACGTCCAGGTAGAAAGCTTATCTGATGGAAGTGAAGGAAACAAGGCAAATCGGACTTTCTTGTTGTTTTACTTGTTCACATAAAGAATATGGTTATCTTATATAATGAGTTACACTCAGAAAAAAGAAAATAAAATCTGTGATATTTACAAGCAATCTGTAGAGCGAGGCTGGTGTAATAGTGACATTCATTGTGTTTCCCCATATGTTTTTGCAAACGGTGCACAAGAAGCATTGGAGATGTTGAGCTGATGACACGTCTCACCATCACCATCTTCATTGACCATCACATTCTATCTGTGAGCTTATTAACTGTCACTAAGAATAGGACTAGATTCCTCATAAGTCTTAAACTCACTCCAGTTGTGAAAAATTAATAAGACCTGTTGCAGTGCTTCTAAAGCTTGTTTGGGCAGGGCCCTCTTCACCTACAGTTCCAATGCCATACATGTTTGGCTAGAAATGTTTGTCTTGTTTCATATTGTACAGTGGTGTGGAATATACTGACACTATAAAGTTAAATGTCATTATAATTATAGGTGATATGCCTCAAACGTCTTCTGGTAACTTGCTAGAGTATTTCTTGTTATTGCTAAAGAGAATGAAAAGCTTCTTGTAGCTATTCTTCTTCCTTTATCCTTGAAACACAACTGAATAATCATGCCCGAGTTTGAGGATGCAGTTACGTGGTTATGTGCCTAGTGTCGGCAAATTTCACATAGAAAGCAGAAAGATCTAAGACATCTCCTGGATGATATGTAGAAAAAAAAGAGGGATACAGTTGAACAATCTCCTGGCTAACGTCATAAGCACTGCAGAAGAATAAAAGCCGGGGGATTTACAACAAAATAAGTATTTTCCGATTTTTTTTGTATTTTTCTTAGATTTCTTTTATTTGCATATGAATTTATTTATTTATTGCATTATCTCTATAATGCATTAAGAATGTTGAATAATTACACCCTGGTGTGTCCCTTAAAGCATACAGTTTTTTTTTCTGAGTAAATGATGCACTGTGTATTTCAAGTATTCAAATGTAAAGGACTTGCCATTAACAACGGTGGTACAGTTTATAATTTGTAATTATTGCAAGCAAACTGTCACTCACTGCTAATTTGTTTGTCTTTTTTTGCTCAGAAGAGAAAAGAATATGGAGAATACCCTAGAAAAAGTGCTATTACCACCAACTCAGATAATTACATGAAACCAATAAAAAAATATTTATTCCAACGACCAGTTGCATAAACAAGTTTCTTTACCTGCTATGGAATGAACATTTGAAGTTACACCAGTATTTAACACTTGTAATATTGGTTTAAACAAGAAAAAGTATTGTTTCAATACTGGGTATCACAATGTCTATATCAAACTGCTTTGTGTATATGAGGTTGGCATATGCAATATATTTTACATTTCAATGCACATCCCATGATGTCATTGTAAAGGAATAATAGGCTTTATTTATAGTCATATGACCTCGTTTCAGCCAATGGAAAAAAAGCTTAAAAACATGGCAATAGCAAATATATTTAATGATGCACATACACATGTGTATTATGTATGTGCTTGTATATATATATTTATATATATGTATATGCATATGTACACACAGAGCAATGTGCTTCAGACCTCTCCAGAAATGGTGCTGGTGTTAAGATTTCTTAATGTCCCTTGGCACTATGACACCCTTAAATGAAGGGTCAAAGGACATCACAATCTTTGGCAATATGTTGAGGAAATAGCAAGAACGCCCTTTACAGATTATCCAGGTCACTTCGTTGTTTCAGAGGCTTGCAGGCATGTTTAATAATTCGAGAGGTGTTTTGTGCCATTATGTGAATTTGGAATCACATAAACATTAATCCATCAAAGTTTCCTTGGCAGATGTCTTTATTACAAGAGTCCAGTCTCGACCACCTCTTTCTTTCAGCAAGGAGGCCTATTTGTATCAGTAAATAAGAGCATTATTTGGCCTCCAGAAGGGTTTATGATGACCCTGCTGATCTGGCTCACCCCTGAATGCCTCATATAAAGGGGTAAAGCCAATGTGGCTCACACAAAGTGTTCAGGCTGCGGGCCATTTTCTTCCCGCAAGGTTAGGATAGCTAGGGAGTTTTAGGACCATTGCTATCTTCCTCTGTTGGGCTGCCATCGCTGCTCTCACAGGAAGAGGTCTCGCTGGCTTTGGGGGTGTCTGAACCATCCTCAAAGGCTTCTGGATTCTCCAGCATTTCACGGATCAGTGGGGGCATTGGTCCAGGAATTTCCATCTTTAGTGAAATTGCTCGTTCTGCACCTGTCAGTAAGAATGTCAGTGGTTAAACTTACTTTTAAATGGTAAACAGCATGGTCTAGCAGTTGTAGATAATACAGGAACAGGGTTTACATCTGAACTATTAGAGAGCTCTATTCACCACTAATTGACCTTTCCCCTTTAAGAATATTGTTTAATGGCTTACTCCAACCATCACAGCCCGCTGTAGTGGTTATGGTGGCTGTTACACGGTAATGCCGCAAACCATTATCCAATTGTTTCCCCTCTTACGTAGTCCCACTAGGCATGCTCTGCAGCAGACTTACCATATCTGGCTTCTTCAGAGCTATAGAAGTCAGATGCCAAACTTCCTGCTTGTTCATTACCTAACAGTGCCAATGAATGCCCTCAGTCAGAACTGACATTAGAGTTCCAGGCTGGCTAATGCCAGCCCAACGATGCAGACGGAGTTACACCTCTGGCAGCCAAGAGGTTACACTTAGCACGTGCAGTGATTCACGTACACTTCAGATAGAGACTACAGGTACCATGACCACTTAAAAACACTGAAATAGTCATGTTGCTTAGAGTAAGTTTAAGCTTTTACAGTTTTTACATGAAATCAAATCATGTTTATTTACTGTACTTCTTGTTTAAAGCTTGCATTCATAGTTAATATGACATTTATGGCCCAAACAGCCAAACTGAAACCTTTTCATCTGAAATTCAAAATTCACTTTAAATACCCAATAATGCAGACTTTATTAAATAATATTGTAGGTTTTACAGAACAAATGGCTAGTAAATGCACATTCTATTTCTATTTAACATTTACAGGTGTTATCCCCTAAACAAGGATTTGTTGAAAATTGACCAGAGAATTGCAAATAGGCCAAACCAGCAAGAATGTCTCCTTTTGCTATATTTTGACCTCACATTTCAATTTTAGGACGGACAGCTGTGCTCAGTCACTAGCATCCATTTCCAGTGACCATCTGGATGGAGAGTTAATTGATGATTAGATTAGGTTTTAATCCATGCATTTGCAGGCAATCTATGCCAGTGCAGTGCATAGATTATGTATATATCAACTTGATGGTGACTGTCTAGTTAAAGCTTCTAACACACAAATAATGGTTCTATTCTTTTTTGTTTCTTCTAGAACCTTAAAAATGCTGACATGCTGATGGTAAGATTGCTTACATGCTGCCCAGCATTATTACATTTTCTCTATGCAGTCACATGTCTAAAAATCAGCAGTTTTAATTTTCTAGGCTTTTTGCAATGGTTACAGTCTTGCACTGTCAGTGCCTGTAGATACTTTAAGAACTGCAAGCATTTTCAATATATGTCTCAAAGGTCAGTGAGAAGGAATTACCTTTGGTGCTTATGCCCCGCAGGTCAGTAATTTTCATAAGCATACGAGGGAACATATACGGTTTATTTGGTCTTCGTCGCCGGGCATAAAATTTTAATGCCTCTAAGAGCGGTTCTTGCAGTTTCTCAACCTTTTCTGGTTCTTCCAAATCCATCCGATCTAAAGAATAATAATAATGAGGATATAGAAATTAATTACTGGTCATAATAATCATAATCACATATAATAATTTTATCCCAACATTCTTGTTAAATGTATGTGAAGCTCCTAAAATCTTATTTTCACAGCCACACAATTTAACATAAAAAGCATGTTAATAAGCCACTGAGTTTGTCTCCACAGAAGTGGCTTCTAGACTTTCTAACTACAGCAAAATTTCAAGAGAATATTATGATGTCATACCTCCACAAATTAGGCAGATGGCGCTCAGGAGTCCAGTTTCCGTATCATCCATTTCCAATGGGAGCAGTTGACCAGCAAATGCAAAAACCAAGTCTGTGAGAGGCCCAAAACCAGCATTGTGCATCTGAGTTCGGTTTAGGGTCAAGCCATCCGAAAAAGTCATGGTGTCTTGTTCTGGAGTATAGCGTGTGCAAATCCGCAGCATCTGAAATTAAGGAGGTTTGTGGTTGGGGAACTGTATATATTTGAGCTTATGTTAGTATTGTTTAAGTAACACATTACCACACTTTTTATTGTTAGTGCTTATAGAAAATGTTTACTACAAAGCTGTGGTCTCTAGTGTAAATTAATTCCTTGGTGCCCAGTGACATCCTGGTATATTAAGAGTAATAACGCCTTGAGGACACGTAATGTACCAGTATATCACATATGACAATTCATGATACACTGCTAAAAAAATCCAACTGCTCTAAGTCCAAGGTAGTTGGTATATGACACTAACTTAGCATTTGATAAGTGCTTTGTGCTTCAAACGTCACTCAAATGTACATATTGTCGTCATATATACAGGTTTAAAGTGAACCTGTTGTAAAATAAATAACTTACTAGAAATCTCTCCCATATACATTGAATACACCATATATCACAATGTATTCAAGGTAAAACATATTTATTTACATTTCCTTGGTTCCAGTGCTGCTTTGTGGCTCTTTATGTAACACCCACCTCCGGGCAACCCTCTGCTCCACCTCCTGTCTTTTTTGACTTGCCCTGCTTGGGATACATCTCCATGCAGGATAAACCTCTTAAGTGACGTGGGCACACTATGGAATGGACTGATGTCATGTCACTCTCTTCCTTTACTCCCTAGCGGAGTGCCAACTAGCGAGTTTCTATAGCAACCACAGCGCATGCTCTGTGTTGGCTATGCTTAGGAGAGCAGTAGGACCTCCTGTGGGAGGTTCTTTCTGCTCTCCCTTGTCAGTCAATGCCTCAGCATCGTATTTGTATGTATTTTTACG